GAGGGCTCAGGAAGTTATCGAGCTGCTGTTGTTGGTAACCTTCCTGATTCCTACCAACAATTCCAATATAAGCTTTCCTGTAAACTTGCCAAAGATCATCCTGTGCTAAGTCAACTTCTTTGTGAGGAAATTATGCAGAGGCAGTTAGATGCTGTTGATATAATTGCTCAGCATCAGGTCTTAACATGCATGGCTCCATGGATTGAGAACCTTAATTTCTGGAAACTCAAGGAAGGATGGAGTGAAAGGTTGTTGAAAAGTCTTTACTATGTAACATGGCGACATGGAGACCAATTTCCTGATGAAATTGAGAAACTATGGAGCACAATTGCTAGCAAAAATAGGAATATCAGTCCTGTTTTAGATTTCTTGATCACAAAAGGCATTGAAGATTGTGACTCAAATGCATCAACTGAAATAAGTGGTGCATTTGCTACATACTTCAGTGTTGCAAAACGGGTAAGTCTATATTTAGCACGAATATGCCCTCAACGCACTATAGATCACCTAGTTTTCCAGTTGTCTCAGCGACTACTAGAGGATAGCATTGAACCAGTTGGGCAAAGTGCAAGTAAGGGTGATCCCAGTGCAAATTTTGTGTTAGAATTCTCACAAGGTCCTGCTGTGGCCCAAATGGCTTCTGTCATGGATAATCAACCGCACATGTCCCCATTGCTTGTAAGAGGTTCTCTTGATGGCCCGCTAAGAAATGTTAGTGGGAGCTTGAGCTGGAGAACAGCAGGTATGACAGGGCGGAGTGTATCAGGCCCATTAAGTCCAATGCCTCCAGAATTGAATATTGTTCCAGTTAGTGCTGGAAGATCAGGACAGCTCCTTCCAGCATTGGTTAATATGTCAGGACCCTTGATGGGTGTTAGAAGCTCAACAGGGAGTTTGCGTAGCCGCCATGTTTCACGGGATAGTGGAGATTATCTTGTTGACACTCCAAACTCAGGTGAAGATGGACTGCATGCTGGGGGTGCTATGCATGCTGTGAATGCAAAAGAACTTCAATCAGCTTTACAGGGTCATCAGCAGCATTCACTTACACATGCTGATATAGCACTGATTCTTCTTGCTGAAATTGCATATGAGAATGATGAAGATTTCCGCCAATACTTGCCTCTACTCTTTCATGTTATCTTTGTTTCAATGGATAGCTCAGAGGACATTGTACTGGAGCATTGCCAGCATTTGCTTGTTAATCTGCTATATTCCCTTGCAGGCCGCCATTTGGAGCAGTATGAGGTGGAAAATAATGATAGAGAGAATAAACAGCAGGTTGTGAGCTTGATAAAATATGTACAATCAAAGCGAGGAAGCATGATGTGGGAGAATGAGGATCCAACCCTTATCAGAACTGAACTGCCAAGTGCAGCACTTCTTTCTGCCCTAGTTCAGAGTATGGTGGATGCTATCTTCTTCCAAGGAGACCTTCGGGAGACTTGGGGAGAAGAAGCACTTAGATGGGCTATGGAGTGTACATCAAAACACCTTGCCTGTCGCTCACATCAGATCTACCGAGCACTTCGGCCAAGTGTAACAAGTGATGCTTGTGTATCCCTTCTTCGGTGCCTCCATAGATGTCTGGGAAATCCAGTACCTCAAGTTTTGGGATTTGTAATGGAAATTTTAATGACATTACAAGTTATGGTGGAGAATATGGAACCAGAGAAGGTTATACTCTATCCTCAGCTATTTTGGGGGTGCGTTGCTATGATGCACACGGATTTTGTTCATATCTACCGCCAGGTTCTAGAGCTCTTCTCTCATGTGATTGACCGTTTATCTTTCCGTGATCGCACAACGGAAAATGTGCTCCTTTCAAGCATGCCTAGAGATGAACTTGATACTGGTGATTTAGGAGAATTTCAACGTACAGAATCTAAAAGTGGCTATGAACCTCTACAAGAGGGGAGTTTGCCAACATTTGAAGGGGTGCAGCCTCTTGTTCTTAAAGGACTTATGTCAAGTGTCAGTCACGGCGTCTCTATTGATGTTCTCTCTCGTATAACAGTGCATTCATGTGATTCTATATTTGGTGATTCTGATACGAGACTACTGATGCACATCATAGGGTTACTCCCTTGGCTCTGTCTTCAACTTAGCAAAGACCTAGTGATAGGTCCTGCTTCACCACTTCAACATCAATACCAAAAGGCTTGCTCTGTTGCTGCCAATATTGCGATTTGGTGTCGAGCAAAATCTTTGGATGAATTAGCCACTGTATTTATGATTTACTCTCGAGGTGAGATTAAAAGCATCGATAATTTTCTGGCATGTGTTTCACCACTCCTATGCAATGAATGGTTTCCAAAACATTCAACTATGGCCTTCGGACACTTGTTGAGGCTACTAGAAAAGGGACCAGTTGAGTATCAACGCGTCATTCTGCTCATGCTTAAAGCCCTCCTCCAGCACACACCAATGGATGCTGCCCAGAGTCCACATATCTATGCAATTGTATCCCAATTGGTGGAAAGCACTTTGTGTTGGGAAGCACTAAGTGTTTTAGAAGCCCTTCTACAAAGTTGCAGTTCATTGACTGGTTCTCATCCACATGAACTGGGTTCATTTGAGAATGGAATTGGTGGTGCTGAAGAAAAGTTGCTTGCCCCACAGACCTCGTTCAAGGCCCGGAGTGGCCCTCTGCAGTATGGTTTGGGACCAGGACTAGGCTCAGTTTCTGCACCAGGACAGCTTGGGTCAACTGAGCCTGGAACTTCGCCAAGAGAGGTAGCTCTGCAGAATACTCGTCTGATTCTCGGTCGGGTATTGGACAGAAGTGCAATAGGTAAGAGGAAGGACCAGAAAAAGTTAGTCCCTTTTGTGGCCAATATTGGTAACCCGTGATTGTATAATTCCATTTGCTGTATATATTCTGTCCAAAGATAAAGTAGGGATTGCTACAGGATAGTGGTTGTACATAGTACATAGGCATCTATAGACTTGGATGAGTTTTGTAACTTTTCATAGTTGTAGACAATATCCTTTTGATGTTAAATATCATGCATAATTTAACTTCCATGGTAACATTGCTATACTGTTCAGTTGTGCCCCTCTATCTTACAAATTTTGTTCTATTTATTTTTTTTCCTTTTCTTTATAAATAGAACAAAATGGTTGTAAAAGGACAAAATATTTTTTCTTGACTTAATTGTATTTTTGGTTCTTATACTTTAAATTTTATGTACAATTTTAGTTTCTCTAATTTTAATTACTCACATTTAGTGTTCTTTACTTTTTAATTGTTCAAATTCAGCTTTTCTCTTCAAAATTTTGTCAAATAATTGACAAATATAACAATGTTATTTATCATTGATTTATATAAATTTACAATGAAAAATTATAAAAAACTAATTCAATAAAAAAATATTTTACATAGTTTATTTACCATTTTACTTAAATATTTTATACATTTTTTTTGCTAATTATACTAATTAATATGTCACATCTTCATTATAATTTTGTTAATTTATTGCATGAGATTTTGGGACTAGGGACTAAATTTGAAGTATAAAAACCTAAAATATAATTAAGTTTTATTTCTTTTGATAAGGTAATTGAAGATTGTTCTCAAGTGTCGTGGCAGTAAACCAAGTGAAAAAAGGAAATTTGAATTCATTGATATTTGTGTCTTCTCGCCAATAATTCATTGACAATTGTAATTACTATTTTAGAAGCTTTTTCTTGTTTTGAATATTCAGTATGTTATACAAGCAATGAATTAAATTTAAACACAATTTAAAATTATAACATGTAAGTATTTTAAAATTTTGATGATAACTGTGGTGCTATATATTGATCATGAACTTTTTGTCTTATTGCATGACTTGAGCATGATGATATTTTTTAGAAATTATTTAGCAAAACAACAAAGAAAAAAAATTCATTTTATCACTCTGGGTCCATTTTGTTACCTATCTAGCCAATTCTATTTATTTTATTTTATTTTGTTGCTACAAATGTGCATATGTGTACTTGACATGGTGCTATGTGCAAATACGCAAACATTTTCTTGACGCAAATGTCACATGACAAACTAACAGAGTTGGGCCTGTTCATGTTCATGTGACTACAAAGCTATTTCACAGTCCTACTTCTTGGTGAGGCAATGCATGTTGTGTGTATTGTATTTGTAAATACACAACTCACTTGGAGTGTCACATGGTGTTCTCTACCTTTTTCTCACCCTTTGTAATTTCCCAACTATTCACATTAATAGGTCCTTATTCCCTTTTCTCTGCTTAAATTGAGTGATCCCTCATTTTTATTTGCTCTTTCCATAAGCAATGAATCGCTTCTTTTCAAACTTCTTTTTAACCATGTATTACAATAAGTATTCTAAAACAAGGATAAAAATCTAATGTCCGCGTAAAGATAGAAAAGATTTTATCTATACTCGTGAAAATATTTTTAAGAATACCAAATGCATAGCATTTCTAGATAACATTATTCCCAAAAATTAGAAGAAAAAAAGAAAGATTTTACATACCAAACGCCCCTTAAATCAATTTAGTTCTTGAAAAAGCTTAATATTAGTTCTTAAAAATATCATTATTTTTTATTTTAGTATTGATAAAAAAATTATTCAATGTTAGTCCCTAGATTTAAAAAAAAACGTGGTTTTAGTCGTACCACTAAAATAATGTATTTTTTTATACTTTTTTGGACTACAATTGAATAAAATTTTTATAACTGAAACCAAAAGTGGTGATGTTTTGAGAGACTAATTACTTAATTAAATTAAAAAAGTGACATAACATCACTCTTGCTGTTACATCATGTTATGATGTGGTAAAAGAGAGTCCCACATTGATTGCAAAGCATTCTTGTAGCATTTTCCTTGTCGCTTTGTCTTCAGTGGTTGCATTCTTGTGGATGTAGTGATTGAAAAATCATACCAAACCAGCTGATTTTGATAAATTAACGTGGTCACTGGTCAAAACATCTCATAAAACCAGCTGAACAAAATTTTGTTAATTTTTTTTTTTTATGTACAAATGCTCACATATAAGGTCCAGATATGACTTGCTATTAGTTTTGGGAGATGAAGCCTATGAAATAGATAGAGGCACATCAACAAGAACCTCTACAATTACAACAGCAAAAATCACATTACAAAGAAGGGTGAACATATTGCAGGCCTTTACACGCTTTTAAATAATATTTCTACATAGGGTAAAGTTTATTCTAGAATCATAATACCCTGATTTTTTAGTTGGCCTATAACCCTACCAATACTCTTCCTTTCATCTCAAAGTATGAACATACATGTATCGTGGGCTTTGAAAGAAAATTCATGTTATGTCTTATTCTTCTTGATCAAGGCATTGGCATCACTGTATATAGCCACTGCATTTGACAAGACTGCCAGGACTAACATAAAGACAGATAGAATCTTGTCGGTTTTAGTTGCTATGTTGTGTCTATCCCTGCAGTTAAAAAGAAAATGCTTAATCATAATTGTTGAGTTAATTAATCAGCAGCAAAAGCATAATGAGTCAGAAATTCTTCTTGCATGAGCAAGTTTCTGTTAGGCAGCAAATAGAAAAATAACGGTAACATTCAGATAACATTAGCAAGGGTTTTGTTGTCTTTTATAATTTTTATTTGGAAAATGCTATCCAGTGCCTTAAGGAATCAAAAGTAAGAATATTTTGTTGAAAATGTAAAAATATACTTATTCCATGTTTTTTTTGTTGTATTTCAATATAATTTTTAATAAAAAAATTACTATTTATTGATTTCTTAACCAATGCTTTTAGAATGCTGGGTAGCAAGACCATTTTTACTTTAATATATTAAGCCTTTTATTATGATCATTGGTGTTGTTGTTATTCATGCCTAAAGGACACTGTTCACTCTAGAATAGCTCACCACATAAGGGAATGATACCTATCTCAAAATTCAAAATCCTTAAATCATTATTTCCCCTTTCTTTAGTGAATTTTTAACAATTGGGTCTTGGCATGGACTAGTTAAAAAATTAATAAATAATTTTTTATTAAAAATCATGTTAGAAATGCATTGCAAATCTCAGTAAAAGTATATTTAGAACAATTTTTAAGAAAAAAATTATTTTTATTCCTTAAATAGTGCTCTTAGAACACTTGGTTATAATTTGTCATAAATATTCCATTTAATTTCTATCTATGGACTCTATGGTGGTAAGCTTGTAGAAGACCATGACAAAATGTAATTACAAGCTTTTTGTTCATTTTTCTATGTCAGGGTTTCTGACAATTCAGAAATCCGATTAACATTTACCATATAAAGTAGGTTAATTATCCCTGGCAATAGTCTGACTATTTCCTCTCACTGTAACTTATAGAGCAAAATCCTACAATCAAATATATGTTTCTACTTACTTTTACTATTTCCCTCCACTATGGGACACTTATCTAAAGACAAGAAGAAAACCATAGTGGAAACACAAATTCATTGCTGAAATAAAAATAATTTGTTGACTAATCTCACCTAAGAGTGATGGCAGCCGGAAATATGAATCCTACACAAGCAGCAGCTGTTGCTCCAGTGAACTGGAAAATATCCCAAATGCTGGGTATGAAATTAGCTCCAAGGAAGATAACACCAATAAGGGAAATAGTAATAGATGAAAATCTGAATTTATCTAGAACCAAAGGCCTAGATGATGAAAATATGAGACCATCAAGGTTGATCCTCACTGCATAGAAGACTACAGGAAATACAAGCACAATATGTGCAGCATAGCTAAATCGAACGGCATCATTGAGCACAGAACCAAAAGGAATTCCAAGATCAGCATCAAAATTGGCAAGAACATCATCAAGAGTTCCTTCACCAAATAGAAGGTACCCAAAGAAGCTTGTTAATAAGTACACTGAAGCACATAGAGCAAGGGAAGTTCTTACAACCCCATGCATCTGTGAAGAGTCCTCAAGTTCATTATCTATGCTGTGAACTGCAAATAAAGAGTGCATACTTTGCAACCATCAGACTATTTATCAATGATGCAAACAGGTAGATATAGATAGCTAACTGCAGCCATGTTTTGCTTCTTCATAACTGAATTTTTACACGAATGAACTATACCGTCTTTCCTCTAGTCCTTTTTATACGAACAACTACCAGTATTGTTTTAGTCCTAATTATAAAAAACATAGATCCATTTTCAAAATTAGTAATTGATAAGTATTTTTATTCCCTTATTTATTGTCATATTTATGTTAACGAGACACTCACTCATTATCTATATAAGTGAATATATTCAATTATTTATTTTATATATATATATATATATATATAGGTCACCAATTTGGCCATGTAATACTGATAATTTTTGGAATACAATATACATTTATAACATAAAACTACTTCTTATTGGTCTCGATGAATTAGTTATTTGTTTCTTATAAAAGGACTCAAGGGAGTATATGACAAGCATGAAGATGGAATTTTACCGTGCCCTGGTTGGACTCATGGTTTAAAGCTAGTAGCAAACCAAAATAAAATGAATATAAACTTTAGCCTATTATAACTTGACCTGTGTGGTACAAATCATCTTACCTTGATTGATATTTTATTTTCAAATTAGTTTGACATGGGCAGGGAAAGGCTTGAGTATGGAGCTGATAGATTGACCTCACAACATTTTTCATGCAAATCATTAACCAACTTATAGTTACATAAGTATCTATGCTTAAAAACATTTAAAAAGGGAAATTAATTCAGCACAAGGTCCAAGAAATCTTCATACCATTGTAGTGGCAGATATAGGCATTCACTAGCACAGGAACTACAGTGAACAGTTCAAAAACTGATGATAGATCAGTAATGATTGGGAAGAGTCTGGGCATCCCAATGCCTCCAATTATAATCTTGAAGATTGATATTCCCACAGCAATGACGAGAAAAACAACTGCTAGTCCAACTGATAATGCAGATGTGAATTTCAATGAATCTGCAACAACCATAGAGCAGGCCTGTAAAATCTTCATAGATTTGTTATAAAAAAAATGAGCATATATCTTGATAAGAAATATCCCATGATCCCATCACATAACTTCAACATACACAAAAAATATTGCTCAAATGATTTAATTGGTTGGTATGAAGATGGTAGATTTATTAAGTATCAAAGCAATGGAACGATCCTAACAATATAAATACATGCCTATTATTTTGCATCATTCAGACATCATATTCTGCTCTAAAATATATATTTTCAAACCATGACAAAACTGACTAATATAGAAATTAGAAGAATCAAAGTGTAGTTAATATAGATTCCTACTTTACGTTAAGCCATACACTAGATTGGATTAAAGGAAAGCAATGAAATGAAGGGAGGAATAGAATGAATTGACATTAGTTGTTATTTTATAGATTCTTTAAAATACCATGGAAAGGAAATTCCACCCAATATTTATATTTTCTTTTCCAATTTGGGGTACGAATGGGACGAATATTTTGTTTATAAATCTCCTCCTTGTTCCGGTCGCTTTCCGAACAATGGAATGAAAACTCATTCCCATTCCATGATAAATATCCAAACAATAACATGATAATCTTTATTCCATTCCACACCCAACGATATCCACACATAGCATATCTTATGTTAAATAACTTGGTCGTCAACAATTCCAACAAATACTTGAAAGTATTTGTTGAAAGAAAAGAACACTCACCGATTCTCTTAAAGCTGACCAAAGGTGCAAACACAGCAAGTGTAGTAAACAAAAGAACAAACGTACGCCCAGTCCACCAGTGAACTCCTAACCATCCTTCAAGGATACCAGAATGGTGAGTTCCACCAGAAGATGTACCAGAAATCACATCACCTGCAATATAAACAATACAAAATTGAATTAGACAACATTCATTGGTAGATAATGATAATTGCAAGTCCAACCAAATAAATTTTGATGTCCTAAGCTTAAGAATATAGTTCTTACCAATAATAATCATGTAAATAATCAAAACACCAATGTTATTGACTATAACACATATCTGCACCAAAGCTTTTCCATATTTCCCAAAAGCATCACCCATGAGACTTCCATAAGAACAAAGACTCCCTGCCCTTGAAATCTTAATCATAAACTCAATTGACTTCTCTGTCAACAAAGCTGTTAAGATTATTGAAAGAAGACCAGGTACCATCCCCAACTTTTGCACACATGCTGGCAACCCCATGATCCCAGCACCAATAATTGTAGTGGATAAGTTGAAAACAGCTCCAGAAAATGAAGCTCCATTGAAATCATTAAACCCTTCAGCATCAGTGTCCTGAGTCTTTGGTATCAAGGGAGCATTCTCATCAACAACTGTCTTGTTCTTTCTTAATTTTGTCTTCTCTGCCTTAGGTGCAAGACTTCCACTTCCCATCTTCAGCTTTTAATTTTTCTGCTTTTTCATGAAAATTTACAGTCACCTTAGCAACTTTGTCAAAAACAAAACACCCCCATTTTTTAAGCTGAAGAAAAGACTCAATATTTGGAGCAATTAGTTAAGGTGAATTAACAAGCTCAGTGACATAAAGCTTAACAATAATAATTCAAGACACCCCAGAACCACAAAATAATTAAAACATAATAAAGATTCAAAATTTGAAACCAGATCACCAAATGAGTCACAATTCAGGATACAAACACCTCTAGCAACATAAGCACCAAATCCAGATAGATTTTGAGTGTGTTCCCAAAAGCCTAACAAAATTAAGAACGGAGGAGAAATTAAAAGCCAGAGACTGTAAGGTGAAGATTATTACTGTTTGAAGTGTTGATTGATATTGTTGTAGTGTATTGAACAAGTGTTGAGGATACGATTGAAGTAAGCATCAACCGTGTAAGCAAATTATGATGATGTCGAAAATGGAATTGACATTGAACAACATCACAACTACTTTTTTTTTGGAAGAAAACTTCAAACAGCGTTTGATGAGGAACAATGATTATGTACTTCGAAATTTACAGGACAAATGTTTTCTAATTTTTCCGAGCTTATAAAGCTTGACTAACAAAATGTCGTTAAGAATACATAAAAAATAAATAAATTCTTAATATATTAAATATTATACACATTAAATGATTTTTTTTTATTTTCTTAACAAATATTTTTAGTTCTCACACTAACAAGACTTTCAAATTTTTATACTAATAGTGACTAAATTATAGCTTGATCTTGAGACTTTTAATATTTAAAAGTTTTATTTAATTCGTTCAAATAGGTTTTTTATTCTTATATTTTTATAATTTTTTATTTTAGTTTCATATTTTTCATAATTTGATATTTTAAATTTTTAATGACTATTAAATGATAACGAGATTAACTAAAAAAATTATTATGAATCGATTTTTATATTACATGTTAATCTTTTGTAGTCGTGATAGTGTGAAAGATTAAATATGTTAAATTTAAAAAATGAAAATTTAAAATGCTTATTACATTTTTATATTCTTATGTAATAATACAAAAATTTACTATTTTTAGATATTTAAAAAACCAATCTATAAGGTTGATGTTAATAAGATTGTTAAAAAAATTAATGTGAATAAACGTGGTTTTTATTTTAAACATTCATTAATTAATAATTAAAAAATTGAAAGAGTTGCTTTAGCTGTAATTTTATGATAGTCGTTCCAAAAAAAAAATAAGTACAAAGGAATAATGGGAGGCGAACAACCTATTACCTTCGCCACCGCGTTAGGAGTTACTTACATTTCCGTTGACATTTATTTTTCAAACTTCCATTTCCTCTTTTGTACATATAAATTAATTGTATATTAGTATTCAACGTTATATTTATAGAAAATAATATATCATTAAATTTATTATTCAATATTAAGAATATAATTAAAAATATTTAATAATTAATTATAATATATTTATTAAATAACTGATTTTTATATAATAAAATTTATTAGAAATGTGTTATCAATTTTTTTTTTACAAATTTAATAGCTGAAAATATGTACTAATTAACATATGTACAAAATTTTATTATATTTATTTAAAATAAAATTAATTTACAAACATATTTTAACATAATAAAACTCATATGCGTTAATAAAAATATATATATATATATATATATATATACATATAATGATAAATATGTGTGTGGGGTGTACATATAATAAATATAAACTGATAAATATATATAATTATTTATTTTTAAAAAAATTTGTCTAATTATTATTGTAAATAAAGTATTATGAGTTTTTTTAAAGTTAAATATTTTTATAATTTTTTAATTTTTAACTATTATTGCTTATAAAACATTGTAAGGTAACAAAAATGGGAACGCCCATCAATATAATTTTAAAATTACTTAAAATTTTACTATATGTTAACAATTTAATCCAAATACTATTTTCTTATTGTACATTTGTTTTATGCATTTAGTTATGTTAAATTGCATTGGTTTACCATAAATAATTAAATAAAAAGTATACATATTATACAACATAATTATATCATTTTTTATATATTAAATAAATTAAGTTACGACATTTTATATGTATAAATAAAACTACAAGATTAATAAAATTAATTTACAAATCATGTTGTATTGAAAAATATTACAAATATAAAACTTAAATATTATGATGTTAAGACTTTATTGTTTTAAAAAAAAAAAGCATTAAGCTAAAATTAAGCTAAACAGTGATTTTCTTTTTTTATTATTTATTTAAGATAACATAATACACCTTTTCACTTTATATATATTACCTCTTAAATAATTTTATAGAAATTATTTATGGTGTATTATTACTACCTTATAAGGTAAAATAGCTTAGAATATATTAATATTATAATAAAATGAGATATATTCTACCTTATTAAGCTCAATAAATTTTTATTAAATAAATGCTTAATTAAATTGTGTCCAAAAACATCTTCAAACTCCAATATAGACTTTACCAAAAGGCCCAAATTTTTTTATACTGCTGTGACTTTTTGAGAAATTTCAACTTTTTAATCATCCTGTCAATAATATACCATAATTATGATATTCACAAGTTTGGCTGTACATGGGACAGATTGAGACGAATTTATCTTTATTCTTACTTTACCCGAATTTCTCAAAGTCATTTTTCTAAACCCAACCAAGACTTGATAATACTGGGATCAGATCAGATCAGATCAACCCAACTTATAAACAAAATATATCAGTTTTGATATTATATATAACAAAATTATAAATTTAGTTAAGCATAAAACTAAAATTAAAGTATATTTTAAAACTAATATTAATATAAATATGATATGGATTAAATTTTGAAATAGTATTACTAAATACATGATTGCTTAAAAAGTATAAATTTTAATATATATAAACACTAAGCCTAGGTTGAGACAACCTAGACTCATCCTCAAAATATATCAAATCTAGTTTTAAAAATTTGAACTAATCAAAATTAGTACACATCTCATGTCTGCGCTCTTAACTAAACTAACATTCTATAAATTCTCACTAAATAAAACTTCCATAACATTTGTTTGTAATTTCATAATAATAATAATAATAATAATAAATTTTATAATTATTAAGATATCACATGCTAGAAATATGATCAAAATATTCTTTATAAGTATAACAATCCTTTCGCGTTGAACTAACTTTTGGTATTAAATTAGATTCAATCCATTTCCAACATAGAATTAGAGCTTAATCTTGATGTTGTGCCACTTGGAGATATTTTGTCTTAACAAATTCACGCTCCATTTGTGCAACTTAAGAGTGTTAATATGTAAACAGATAACTGTAATATCAGAAAGTGCCCAAAATGTCTATTTCTAGGGACATTTATGATGCAAGCTACAAACAACACGTTACCAAGGGGATTGAGCATATTGCAGGCCTTTACACACTTCTGAAGCATAACTGTACAGAGCGTAGCTTCTTTGTTTATTTTACAATCAACTCATCAGACCCTTCTAGAAAAAATTATTTTTCTTGTAGGCCAATAACCCTGCCACTCTTTCATCTGAAAGTACGAACTTACCTGAAATGAGAGCTTCTAAAGAAATTTTCAAGAAATCATTCGTGTTATGCTATATTCTTCTTGATAATGGCAGAGGCATTACTGTATATAGCCATAGCATTCGAAAAGACTGCAAGAACTAACATAAAGACAGATAGGATCTTGTCTTTCTTGGTTGCAATGTTGTACCGATCCCTGTAGAAGAAAAAACAAAAAGTTCAATGATGATGTTGAGTTAATTAATTAGAAGCAAAAGCATAAACAGCAAGCATTTTTCATGCATGACCAAGTGGCAGTTAGGCACAATCAATGTAAAACACAAAATAACTTCAGCAAGGATTTTGTTATATTTTTCTTTCTCTTCTTCTTTAGGTGCGCACTCTGTGTATTTCCTAGTTGACAACCCAAAGACTACTTCATTCAATGCATAGAGGTCACCAAAACAGGTTAGACTCCCCCAATAAAGCCTTTTTTGTTGTCTTTTAAAATTGTTATTTTAAGGAACCTTGAGTTCTTCATTATTTGTGTGGCTAGTGCATCTAATAGACATTGTGCTCATTCAAGAATTGCTTGTTACACAAGGAAATGAACTATATCTCAAAATCCTTAAATAATTAGTCTCCCTTTAGTATAGTTTCAAAATCTCACTTAATTTCTTTGTATAGACTATATTGACTATAGTTGTATGCTTGTAGTCGACTACACAACTACCAGTATTTTCTGCAGTTTTTTATATCAGGGATTCCAAAAAGTTCAGAATATTGTTAGTATTTATCACATAAAGTAGGTTACGATCAACTTCTCTTGCTAGTTATTTTCTCTCTGGTAAGTCAAAGAGAAAAATCCTACAAGCAGACACCAGAAAAACCATGTTGGAAACAACATTCATTACCAAACTAAGAGAATTCCACACCAAACTCACCTAAGAGTGATGGCAGCTGGAAATATGAATGCTAAAAATGCAGCAGCTGTTGCTCCAGTGAACTGGAAAATATCCCAAATGCTGGGTATGAAATTTGCTCCCAGGAAGATAACACCAATAAGGGCAATGGTAATTGATGCAAATCTGAAGTTATCTAGAACCAGTGGCCTTGATGAAGAAAATATGAGATCATCTATGTTGATTCTTAATGCATAGAAGACAACAGGAAATACAAGCAGAAGATGTCCAGCATAGCTAAAACGAACGGCATCATTAAGCACATAACCAAAAGGAATTCCAAGATCAGTGTCAAAATTGGCAAGCACATCATCAAGTGTTTCTTCACCAAATAGGAGGAAACCAAAGAAGCTTGTTATTAAGTACACTGAAGAGCATAGAGCAAGGGAAGTACGCACAATCCCATGTATTTGTGATGAGTCCTCAAGTTCATTTTCTATGGGGTGTACTGCAAATAAAGGGCGCACACAATGAAAACATCAGACCATATATCCATGAAACAAACACAGATGAAGATAGCTAACTACAATCATCTCATGCTCCCACATAACTGAAACTTTTGCAACAGTGTAACAGCACTTGAAAATTTCTATGAACTTCTTAAGCAACCAACCATAGGATGCAAAATGTATACTTCCTTTCATCATGATCTTAACTCAGAATAAAGTATATGGTTTGTTCGATTACGAACTTTTAGTGTTCCCAGTTTAGTATCACGTTGCACTCACAGAACGAGCCAAATTAACTTTAGCCAGTCATAAATTGACATGCAAATTACTAACCATCTAACCTTCATTGATATTTATTTTCAAATTAGTTGTACAAGAACAGGGATGAGTCTTATGGAAGGAAGTCAGACTGAACTGACAAGTTTTTTCATTCAAATTAATAACCAACTCACATAGTTACATACGTCTGTTCTGCATAAAAGCATTGAAACAAGGGTAACAAGTTCCAAAAAAAGGTCTGAAAAACACTCATACCATTGAAGTGGCATAGATACGCTGTCACAACCACAGGTGCTACAGTGAAGAGTTCAATAATGGACGTTACATCAGTAATGATTGGAAAGAGCCTAGGCATCTCAATGCCTCCAATTACAATCTTGAAGATTGAAATTCCCACAGCAATGACAAGGAAAACAACTGCTAGTCCAAATGATAATGCAGAAGTGTATCTCAAAGAATCTGCAAGAACCACAGGCACAAAAATCTTCATGGTTTTGTCATAAAAAAATGATCAGAATCCTAAGTATGTCATGATAATACCTCTCCCACAGTCCCATCACAAAAATATATTTCTTGAAGGATTCTGTTGGTATGAAAAAAGATGTGGAAAGTACCAAAGCAATAGATTGATCCGAAAACTATAATACATTTCTACTATGACATGTCATTCATGTGTCAAACTCATAATATATAGCATATATGGCAACAAAACAACATAAATCTTTCGAAAATTTCAAATTTTCATTTCCTTAATTTCTGTCATAAAATATATTTTCTCAAACCATCACAGAACTAGGAAATATATAAATTAAAGCAATTAATAAGGATTCCCAATTTATATCAAACCATATGCTAATTTAACTTGGTTGTCAACACTTCCAATGAATGCTCTGAGTAATTTAAGATGACAACAGCCACATTAGCAACACGGAGCATTGTCACAAGCAGAACAATGGGTGGTCAAAAGCCAAATGTCTGCTCATATATTGCTTTTATTTTTTTCTTCAAACAATGGAGGAAAAGAGCACTAACCAATTCGCTTGAAGCAGGCCAAAGGTGCAAACACAGCAAGTGTTGTAAAAAGGAGAACAAATGTACGTCCAGTCCACCAATGAACTCCAAACCATCCTTCAAGAACACCGGAATGGTGAGTTCCACTTGAAGATGTTCCAGAAATCACATCACCTTCAACATGAACAATACAAAACTGCCTTTAGTTCTTTTGATCTTGTCTGGACAGAATAATAACTAACAAGTTCAACTAAAACCTTAACCTATGAATTCTAATAACTACGAAAGTCCACCCAAATAACATTTTACGTACTAGCCTTAAGATATGGTCTTTACCAATAATAATCATGTAAATGATCAGCATTCCAATGTTGTTGACTATGACACATATCTGCAACACAGCTTTTCCAAATTTGCCAAAGGCATCGCCCACTAAATTTCCGTACGAAGAAATATTTCCTGCCTTGGAAATCCTAATCATGAACTCAATTGACTTTGCAGTCAACAAAGCTGTTAAGATTATTGCAATAAGACCAGGCACCATCCCCAGCTTTTTCACACATGCTGGCAACCCCATGATCCCAGCACCAATAATTGTTGTGGATAAGTTGAAAACAGCCCCAGAAAATGAAGCTCCATTGAAATCATTAAACCCTTCAGCATCAGTCTCCTGAGTCTTAGGTAACAAAGGTGCGTTCTCATCAATGACTATCTTGTTCTTTCTTGATTTTGTCTTCTTTGACTTTGGTTCAAGACGGTTTGTCATTTTCAGTTTTCAACTTTTCTTTTTTCTCCTTTCTTTTCTCTGCCAGAAACAAACATAACACACCCATTTTTCAAGTTGAAGAAAATATTCAAACTTTGAAGCAATTAGTTCAGCAAAGTTTACAATCTCAGTGATACAAACCTGAAAGATAATTCAAATATACCCAAGAAAGGTTCAGCAAAACCCAGATCACTAAATGGCTCAAAACTCAGAACCCAAATCTCTCTTATCAAAACAAGCACCGAACCCAACGATCAAGAGAGATTTTGGGTGTGTTGGAAAAAGCTATGAAAAATGGAACCAAAAAGCAAAATGAAGCAAGAAGAAATTAGAAGCTAGAGAAAATGAAATATAATGTGATTATTACATCTTATTTTATTTATAACCCAAAAAGAAGAAGAAAAGAAAGGAACAGGCGTACAATTGATTGAAATTTGATATTGTTGTAGCCAAATTGGTAAGTGTGAAGAATACAAAATAAAATTGACTGAATCGCCAATTGTATGACCAAGTCGTGAAGCTGTGGCGAATTGAATTGAATTGAATTGAATATGAAAGTAAACATAAGAAAACTGCTTATTAAGATCAATTCACGAATACGACAAGATTGAATCATTTTATATTATTTCACATGTCATATTTTTCATTTTGAATCAATTTTCCACGTGCGTAGCTTTCATGAAAATAATTGTGCTCAAGAAGGAAAATTCGCAAATACTATATAAATAAATCACTTTTTTATTATTTTATGTGTCTTTTATATTTTAACCCGTCATAATTTTTGCTTTTAATAGATTTTATTCATGAACAATATAAAATACATATAAAATAATAAAAAACAATACGTTCGAGTTGTATTGATGAATTATTTTCGTAACATTTAACATTTGTGTTCTATTATTTTACTCAGTATTTTTTGTACTATTAAGCGGTTTTCAAGTATAAAAGGTACTTATTAAAATAAAACAAAAATGAAATTTTGGTACAATTTTTTTTTATTTTTAGTATTAATTTTGTCATAATTTAATAAAATAATTTGAAAAATAATATTATAAATATTTATAAAATTACGTCTAAATTTTGTCCTAACATAAATTGTATTTACACTTTAAGCAAAACATACCTTTTTAAAACAACTTTCTCACAAATTAAAGTTAGCAAAACAATTTTGTTAGTGATGAATTTCAAGACGATAGATAATAAAATTATTTTTATTGTCGTTGAATGTGTTAATTAGAAGTATAGTAGAAAAATATTTTAAAGCATATTCATTTTAAGTATTTTAAATTACTTAAAAAATAAATGTTGAATGAGTTTCATAATTTTGTTACGACAAATACTTTTCATATTTTTTTTATTTTTTATTTTTAACATGCACTCATAAATACATTAAAAAAGGTTTTTTTTTAAATATAAATTTATAAAATTTGTGTATAATAAAGGTATATGTAAAACAAGAAACAGTACTTGTGTTTCAGATTGATTAATCTCAAAATTCATAATATTATATGCTCAAAATTTGAAATAATAAACGTATAAAAAAACATGTGAAATAACAATTCTATAGTGTATCATCATAATGAAAATTTAAAACTAATATCAAAGTGTGTTTGCATGCTTTAAAATATATAAATTTTACATAAACATTTAAGAATAATTACTGTTCTGCTACTTAGTTATGTAAATCAGTCAACATAAATTTGTTCATAATTAATATGTAACCAAAGTAAAACCGTCTCATAAATATAATAGACACTTATTATTTAGTTTATAACTTTTATTATTCAATGCATAACTTTGACCATTTATTTTATAATTGTCCTTAATTAATTTTAGGAATTTTTGACCAAATGGAGGCATTTTTTTAAATCAAATTACCAAATTAAGGTGATTAGAATTTATTATTAATTTGGATGTTTATTTTTTGTATAATTAATTTGAGTGGATTTTGTCTCCAGCAGGTAGGGTGTCACATAAAAAAATATATGAAAATGGTCACAGGAATTGCTATCAATAAATAATAATATATATATATATATATATATATATATATATTTAACGATATTGTCGTAAAATAACACCAGAGTGGCGTTTGTGCCCATTACTACTCCTTCTAAATCGATCCATTACACAAAAAAATGCAAATATCAAAAGAAAAGCTAACCAAAAAAGTATATTTCATAATAATAATAATTTAATTACGTTATTTAGTCTCAATATTTAATTTTTTTTAATTTACTCTTTTACGTAAAAAAATTACAATTTAATCTCTACTTGAATAAATATTTATAAATTAGTTCGTATTATTAAAAATATGTCAACGATTTTAGATGAAAAGGATCCAAACATAAAAAAAAGAATCTGTATAAAGATTAAAATATAAATATTAACTGTATAAATTAATTTATGAATAAGTGTTAACTATAAAAATTAAATATATATTTTAAAAAAATAAATATAAATTATGGACTTATTTAAAAATAAATAAATGAAGTAACAAATGAAAATTTCACAAAAATTTAAGAGATAATAAATTTATATTTTCAAGCAAATTTGTAAATAACCAAATTTATATGAATTATTCATAAATAAAAATAAATATTTAAAATTTAAACATAAAAATTAAAGATAATGATTTAACTTTCTTGTGATTTGTGAATGGAGAAGACAATAGATAAAAATTCATTTAAAAAAATTAAAATTTAATTTTTTTAAATTCTTACCAATAAAGAAATGGATAGATATTTTTTATGTTTATACAAGTAGATAGTAAATAAAAATTGATTTGAATAAATTTAAAACGATAAAAAATAATTAGTAGATATGGAGAGTTGATAGGATGGTAAAAAATATATCAATAATTATAAAAAATAAAGTATAGACAGACGATGGAAGTCTTTTATTTTTAAGAAAGTAAAAATATAAAAAAAAATGATTAAAGAGAATGTATAAATATGAGAGAGATATCTAAAGAGAAAGATGAATGATATATATATATGGGTTAGGATTCATTGACACAAAGTATAAGTCTCTTAAACGTACAAATCAATAATTTAACGATTGAAAAATTATCTGTTGTTTGATCAAAGTAATAAAATATAAGTACGCAAAAAGAGATAATTTTTTAATCGTTAGATTATTGATTTGTACGGTTGAGATTTAGTATAAATTTTTTAAACTTACACCTGGTGTCAATAAATCCTATTCTTATGTATGTATACAATGGAGAGGAGAGAGTAAGAAAAGAACAAAAGTTTCAAAAACATTAACAAATAAAACCTCTTTATTCTCAAAGTCTAAAAACTCTAAATTATTATATTATTAAAGAGTTGAAGGGGAGTGAATTAATTAAAAACCTTGTATCATCACAAAGAAGTTAAAAAAACAAACAAAAATAAAAACAAATTTATCTTATTTATTGGATTAAATAAAATATTCACATTATGCTTATTTTTATAATCAATTTTTTCTAGAATTTTTTTTTTTTTGTTTCTTTCTTTATATTCTTTGTGTTCAAAAACCAATAATACATATAAAAAAATAAAAGTTCAAATATTGTGATAAATTATAAATAATTAAGGAATAATATTTTTTTTAGTGATTTTTTATTTATTTTATTTCTATTTTGTTTCTTTTTAAACCAATGAATAATAATAATAATAATAAATTGTGTGGTAAGTTATCAAAATTTACTAGGAGTAGGCATCAAACAATTTCAGACGGGTATTCATCGGTGACAAACTCCATTAGTGATGCCTATTTTGCTCCCGTGTATGACACCAACTCACCTCTTAGAAGAAGTTGAAGTCATGAGTCAATGGTTATAATTTTCTAAAGGAACTATTGTAACATTTTAATTTAATTTTCGAATTAAATAAATTATTTTCACAATAAATAGGAATAATAAAATTTTTCTTCAAATAGTTCCCAACACATAGTTTCATTAAAGTATTTCAAAATAAGGATGAATTACAAATTTAAATCAAATCATTGCTACAGGACTTAATTAATATATCATAATTTCAAAGAATAATTTCTTAAATTTCAAAGAATAATTTCTTAAGTCCTATAATAGTTTCATACATCTCTTCACTGAATCTGGTGCTGATCGTCTTGATTACCTGAAAAATAAATATAATAGTGAGTACTCTACACTATCACATACATAAGCATAGAGACTCATCTTGCACATTCTGCATGTTTCTAACATAGTTCATGATATAATTTAATTCATTTATTGAACAACCATAAGTCAATTTATTATATTAACACGCACATCAAATTACACACGAATGCACTTACTACACCTTCAATCAATCCACAAACACATATACGCTTGCTACACATTAGCCACGCTCATTGTGGCACCGTGATCACAGTTTTGTGACGCCGTCAACCTTAGAGATTTACTTAGTTCCATACCATGAATAGTCGCCAGATAGCTCCCGCTCCACAGATCAATGTGTGCAGTCCTGGCCCCCAAGCAAAGATGCACCCACGCTCACTGTTAGTGTCACCATCACTCTCTCTTCCCCAAAATATTTCTACCGCCCCATCTTCCGCACCCCAGTGTATTGCTAAATCATTCATAATTTTTTCTAATATTTCACAATCACAATTACATTCACACATATTCTCACCCATTTCATATTATTCATCATCAACCAATGGCATGTCAACACATATTTCAACCACATTGTAGCCAACCATACGATTTCCATCACCATGTCATCACATATCATGCTCAATATCAATCACATTATAATTAATCATACAATTTTCATCCTAATTCTATGTCAATCAAGTTCATTCCATCATACACATCACTCAATAACTACCATATTATGCTTCTTACGAAATTTTCATTAAAATACACATTTTCCTATGTTCTATCTCAACCACATTGCAACTCATAGCAAAATAAATGGATTTCAAGCAAAATAAGATAGGGTAAAGTCTCCCTTACCTCGAATCGAAGACTCAATATGAACTCAACGATGGAAGTACTTCCCACCGATTTTCGTCCTAAGTATAGGGAAAAACTCCATGAGAAATCAAGGAGATCAGAGAAAGAATGAAAAACATAAACCCTAACTCTTTAAACTCACTTCCAAACATTTTAAACGTGATTGTAACCTTCAATTCTGTACCCAAACGGCTTTTGAGGTAATTTAATCAGTGAAA